CTCCCTGCGCTGGGAGAAACACTCGTGCCGGACTCTCTGTCGGAACCTGCGCGCATGCGCAACAGGAGGCAGGCTTATGGGCTCCAAGGCTCACCCTCCCTACCCGGGGAAGGCCGGGGTCCCAGACTGCAGGGGTGCTGGCAGCGGTGTCACTGTGTGCTTGTGTGGGGAGGCGGGCGGGCAGGAGGGAGGCTCGGCGGAGTGTCAGTGTGTCTCGGGCTGTGTGGGGGCGGCTGTGCGGGGGCGGAGGGCTGCGGCACGCACCAGAACATGTGCGTGCGTGCCTGCCGCTCGGGTGGCTTGGAGGGGGAGGAAGGAAAGTCTGTCCCCTTCCCTGTTCCTGCACTCCCCACCTTGAGGACCTCCCTGCCCCTCACCCCTAACCCAGCATCCCATCCTTGGTCTTCGGCTCCTGCACAGGATCTGGTCCCCTACTTTGACTTTAGGACAGCCTCTTCCTATGGCCTTGGGCTATTTCTCTCTGGGTGTTGGTTCCACCTTCTAGGCTATAAATAGACAGCGTATGGGTCCTCCCAGTTTGATGTTCTGGGAGTCGGAAATTTCCCAAGTGTGCCTTCCACAGAGGGAAGCTAAAGAGGGCAGCACCTCTACTGGGGCATTTCAGCATCTGTAGAGTTATTCTGATCCCCATTTCACAGATGGTAAAGCTGGGGTTCACAAAGGACAGGGGATCCACACCGGGTGGTCCAGTAACTCCCAGGCAGAGTCATGACTGGAAAATAAGCCTCAGCTCAGAATTCTCTTGCCCAGAAGCCGGCGGCCCCTCTGCCCTAATAGTGTTCCTTGGACACAACAGCAAGAGGGGTCCCTCTCATGAACTGTCTCCCCGCCGCATGCTGGACACTCGCACACTGGGCCTCCCCCTCCTCAAGCCTCAGTCTGTTCCTCTGTCTGACGGCGCATAAGCCCTCTGCCTCCCTCAGAGCTAATGGATGGAGAGCTGCCTCAGTGGCCCCAGAGCTCTGTGAATGTGAGAGGCTATTAGAAGCAAAATGAAAGCATACCCCCATCTTCAGGGGTTCTCTCTCTCCAGCGTTACCCTATGGAGCCTCCTGACAGCTCAGCCAGGGAAGGAGGGATTGCTGAACAGGCTTGGTGGATGTTAGAGCTTGTCTCCCATGAGGGAACCGCAGCATCCGGGTTCCTGGTACCTCAGTGTGGGGAGCAGCCTCTGGGCCCCAGGTACCCCGGCCCAGGCCCAGTTCCTGACACACACCATGAGGGTAAAAGGGGCAGAAAGCTCCAGAACCAGCTCTCGCCCGTCCCTCTGCCCACCTGGCTTGCCCTTCCCCCAGCCCAACACTGCCCTACAGTTGATTTCATATCCCAGTTTCTAGAGGAAGAGCGGGCTGCCCTCTATCTGGTCTCCCTCCCTCGCTCTCCCTCTCTCAAGTAAAACCTCCTTCTGGACCACTCAGTGATTACACAGGCTGCAGAGCAATTCTCTGCCTCCCTCACCTCTCCTGGAAGTGGGATCCAAAGCCCAGAGAATGTCAAAGGCTGGAGGAGGCATCCTCCTTCTCTGCCTCCTAGAACCAGACCCCTTCCCCCCATATCCTGGGTTCTGCCCAGAGCTCTGGCTCAGCTGCCCAGACCCGCTCTGGCCACGAAGCTGCCATTACCACTGCCGGCTTCCCAACAAGCTCCTGTGGGCTTTTATTTCTTGCATCTTCTGGGAGGAAGAAGGGTGGGGGTCAGGGAGGAGTGAGTGAACCAGTCTCTGGATTCCACCTTAACCTTCTAGGGGACCTAGAATCAAGATCCTACTTATATGCACCCAATGCAGAGTGGGACCTTTGTCCAGGAGCACCGAGGGGCCTCAGAAGCCACTGCCGAGGGCCCTGGGGACTCAGGACCACTCCCCACCCAGCTGGCTGCCCACCAGGTGAGAGAGCAGCAGCTGTTCTTACATCCGTAGCCAGCCCTACCTTGGGCTCCTAGAAGGCCTGCAGTCACAAGCCTGGGCTCACTGAGTGGGATGCCAGGAAGCCCTCGAGGCATGTGCCCTCCTCTCCAGCCGGGCAGCCCAGGGCCCTGCAGAAGGACGTCCAGTGCCTCCCCTGCTCCCTTGCAGGACTGTGCCAGCTGCCTTGGCAAGTCATCCTGCCAGTGATCTGGAGTGGGCTCTTGGAATGGGGACTCAGCTTCTGGGTGGTGACCACAGTGTCCCAGCCGGCGGGGACTGTGGGTCCACAGTGGAAGGCTGGGCCCTGCAGACGTCTTCCTGGCTTCTTCCCGCAGAAGGGGAGCTGGGTCAGGCTCTTTCCCCAAGCTGGGCCAAGTCCAGACAAAAGGTAAACCTGTGGCAGGCCCCAGCCTTGGGCTTCAGCCTGCCTCTCCTTGGACAACAGTGATCCTGACAGTGGTCCCTGCTGAAGGCCCACTGTGTGCCAGGCTTGTCACTAGGTCTTCACACGAGCCATCTTACTGCATCCTCACAGCAACTGCTTTTATCTCCAGACTACAGGGGGAAAGGGGTGCGTCATGTGGCAAGTGTCACAAAGCTATGGGTGATGAGCTCCAGGGCCTGGGCCATGGGCTGGGCACTGCCCCTACCCGCCCCACTGGGTGCCTGGCGTGCAGAGCACGAGTCCCAGCTGCTCCCTGAGGTAGCCTGGCTTTTTTAACCCCTGCATCAGAGGCGGGGAGCCTCACTCCCTCCCGGTACAAGCATCCTTCAGCCCAGGCCCATCCCCAGCCTTCCTAAGGTCCTGCAAGCTCCTGACATTGTACGCAACATTTTGTAGATCTGTGCGTTTCTCTGGAGAATGTAGACTTGGACTTTCATCAGATTCCTGGAGGAATACACGACCTAAAAAAGGTTAGGAGCCCTTATGGTTCCGAAAGGAAGAGGTCTGAAATCGATCTGACACGGACTAGCCGTACCTGCCACCCTTGCTTTGCCTGCCATGGCTACACCAGGACTCCCCGTCCTCTGGAATTCTGCCCCTGCCCCGGTCCTGGCAGGCAGTGGGGTCGAGAAGACTCTCGAAGGCTCTCTGCACCAAGTCGCCCCCTCTCCCCTCCACCAAGCATCCGGTCTTCATGATATCCATCTCCTCTTGGGGCAAAACATCACTTTTATTTTCACTTGAAGGGCCTGAGTCACATCTCAACTCCATTTCCCTGCACTCTGTGACGCAGCCCTCCCAGCACTGAGCCTTGGTCATCCCCTGAAAGGCAGCTCCCAGCTAATGGGGGAACCCTGGCGTTCCGGGGGGGGGTGCGCGGGAACCCCGCCAGGCAGGGGTCCTGCGCCCTACAGCAGACAATATCAGTCCTCCAGAGAATCTCGTGCCTACAGCCCGCCCCTGCCCCCAGCACAGAAACACACTCCGAAGCACAGTGAGTCTGCAGGCAAGAGTGACTACACGTCTGCACGTGGGTGTATACCTGTACAAGGGACCTGGTGTGTACCTGGGAGTGCCAGGATAGCCTGGTATGTGAGTGTGAGTGTGTGTGTGTGTGTGTGTGTGCAGGCAGCCTACTTGTACACAGCCACAGGCCCACCTCCCACACATATGCAGACACCAGCATGAGCTCACACATGCCTTCAACACCCACACTCCCACCCAAGCCTTTGGCCCAGGCCTCACACGCACGCATATAAACCTTCCCATGTGTATGCCCCCCCCATCCCCACACAAATGTGCATGTCTGGACCTCAAAGGGATACCACTATGTCCAAGTCCCACACACACATCCTTACACAAACACATATTTGCACAGCCCCAGACCTCAAACACATCTCCGGCTGACGTGCACACAGCTCTGACCTGCCTTACGTGTGCACACACAGTGACGCACATTCACGCCCGCACCCCCGTGCAAACCGGCCCACGGTACCCCATGGGCCCCTTGCACGCCATCACGGTTGCAGGCCTTCCACATGTGGCTCATGCCAGCACCTCCTGCCGGTGCACCCGTGTGAACATTTGCATACTCTGTTGAAGCACATAAGTGTACCCCAGAGTCAGTCCTTACACAGCACAAATCAAAAGGCACACTGGTGCAGATTTGCTCCCGCACCCCTTTCCCTGGCGCTCCTGCTGCCCTGGCAAAGACCACCCCGGGCAGGGGAGCTGCTTTGCCCAAGGGGCGAACTCTGCCTCTGAGCTGTACCCCTCCTCTGAGCCATCCCTGGGGCCTCCCTGGACCGAGCTGGGAGAGTCCAGGATGCTTTCCTGACACTCCACGACCCCAAGAGGCTCTCCTCTCCCCCATCCTCCCACCCTTCTCTCCACACCAGTCATCAGGGGTCTTAAAATGAGCTCTGGGGCCGGACAACACTGCCAAGGAACCAGAGCTGGTATACCACTAGCCCCTGAAATGGTAGTGCTCCCCCCAACTTGCCCGAGTGCCCCTCCCTGCCTCTCCACACCCTGGGAGCCCCACAGGCCCTTAGTTATTCACCCCTGCTGTACTGATGCCCTCCCTCTAAGAGGACCTTGGAGGAGGGAGGGAGGGAGGGAGGGGATGTGCTTTCACAGAGAAGTTGGCCACTCTGCACAGTTGCTGGTGGTGCCTAAAGTCAGGAGGGTCTACCCGGGAGATGGCGAACTCTCTCCCATCAGAGGTGTCCAAGTTGAGGCCAGATGAACACCTCCAGAGAAAGTCAGCAGGGGGTTCTGGCCCCGGACTTAGCTGCCTGGGAAGATCCCTTTTTAACCCTGAGTGTCTAGAAATCTGTGTGTGCCCAGTAGTGTGCACTCGGGTGCGTGTGTCTGTGTGTGTATGTGTGTGTGCGTGCGTGCATACTGGCATGCACCACTAGCCCTTCACCCCTACACACACACTCAGCTGGCTGGCCTTGGCACCTCTTTGCACCCATGAACATGCCTACACCCAGCTCTGGGCAAGTGTCCCCTCAAACATGCAGACTTCCTCCCTGTGCATGCACAGGAAGCATGCAGGTGCACACTCCCAGCCCGTGACACTGACCCCCTGCACCCTCCAGAACTCTCTGAGGTGCAACTCACTTTCCCAGTTCCTCGAAGAGCTGGTACTCTTCCGTGAAGCGGGTGCAGGTGATGGTGGCCATCCTGGCGCTGGGCGGGCAGGCGAGGCTTGGGGCTGGAGGACCAGGACTGGGGCTCTGCTGCTCTGCTCCTGGAACTAAGGGCCACTCGCCTGCCTGTGCTGCCGAGTGAGAGCCGAGAACCAGCTTGACTGACGAGCCCCGGGCTTCTGAGCAGGGCACTGTGGCTGCTCACAGCCTCGCGAGCCTTCGTCAGCATCCAGGTCCCCATGGCAACCACCTCCGAAACGCCCTGTTCCCGTTGCCCGGGTAACTGCCTCCCCAACACCTGCCTGCCTTCCACTGCAAAACCTGCTCCCGGACGCCCTGGCCCTAACCGCACACAATGCTGCAGGCCTGTGTGGGCCCAGGGGCGGGTGGACCCGGCACCCCCATGGTGGTGGACTGACCGAGGAGTCTGGGGAGGGGGAGAAGAACAAACTTAATCCACAAGTGATCGTCTCTCTCCCCACCTCCCCCACCTCCAACTGTGGGTCCCTTGTAGCAGACAGGATGGGATTAAGTGGGGCAAAAAGGCAGTTGCCATGGTAACGTCCAGTGGGTGCCACATTCTGGGATGGTCCCCAGGAAAGACAGGATGCAGTTACCCTGGCAACTTCATCTCCTCTGGAGAGACAGGTATTGCCCCGTTGCCCTGGCAACAGCCGGGTTCCAAGGTTTACAGGAAGCGATGGCTAATTCATCGGGATCTCTCTCCCAGTGGATCACTGTAGTCTGTAACTGTCTTTCTGCGCCCCTCTGTATTTTGTTTTTTTGCCTCTGCCTCTGCTTCCTTATTGTGCTCTCGTTCTCTGCCACCTTGTCCTCCCCACTGGCGCTCTAGTTTGAGGGACAAGTGCAGAGGAGACATTGGGATTCTGGAGGGAACAGCCCTGCTGGCCCGCTCACCCCCACCCCTCTCCTCCATTCCATGCCCCCAGAGGGACCATGGAGATCTGGTCTCCTGGGGCTCATGTCCCAGTTTCTGCTTGTGCTTCAAGTCAAGGTGAAAGAGGCGGAGGCGGCAGTGGGGAGGGAAGCATGGCCTGGCATGGAGGGGAGTGGCCATGGGCCTGCCCTGAAATCCTCATTCCCCTTTTTCCCTGCCAAGTTCAACTCTTCAGGGCAGCAGCCAGATCCATGGCCCCAAGATCTCACTCAAGCCTGGGGGTGGGGGGGTGTGGTTTGGAAGGAAAATGGTTGGAGTTTAAGGATCTGAGTTCAGCTCCAGTTCTGCCGTTTGTGAGCTGTGTGACCCTGGGAAAGCCACTGCCCCTCTCTGATCTTCCAGCGTCCTTTTCTGCAAAACAGAACAAAGTTGCTACTGCAGAGGAAGGCTGTGAAGAGGGAGTGGGTTAAGGGCTGTGGAAGCCTTTGGGAAGTATGTAAACATGAGGCCTCTTTTTAGTTTCTGGAAGAGGAAAAGGAAGGTCTAAAGCGGGACCATGACCACCCCCATCACTCTAGCTTGGACTCAGAATTTCACACCTACCTCCTCCACTCAAGCTCATTTCACAGCCCACCAGGCTGAGGTCTCTTGCCAGCATTTGCCCACAAGGAGCCCAGGTGAGATAAAAGGGTCCAAGATCCCAACCTTTTGAGCTGCTAACCCACCCCTCTGAACCTTCCAATTGCCTTACTGGTCACCTAACTTGCTGAACATATTGTCCACTTCTTGGTAATCCCCAACCCTAGCAGGTCCCTGACTCACTACCTTGGGTCCCGGGGCCCCTGGAGACATCTGGGTACCCTCTCCCACAATTCTGCCCCTCTCCCTGGGCATCAGGGGTGGGGGAGAATGATGGGATTGGCTCTCCAACACAGGACATAGCCACTTCTTCCCAGGAGAGAAACAGGAGGGAGGCCGAGGGGAGGGAGAGGAGGCGAGCTAGGGAGGAGGGGTAATGGCTTAGCCACTAATTGCACCATTACCACCTTCAGAAAAGGGAAAAACCACTCAGTTTTGTTTCTGCACACAATATGCTTCCTGCTTCTGCCGCCAACGTTGCAATTCAGAGGCAGAGAAGAGAGGCCTTTGCTCGGGCCGCACAGCTGGTGGGAGCGGGCTGGGCATGGAAAGCTGAGGCCGCCAGGGGCGAGAGGCAGATGCAGGGGAAGTGGGGGAAGGGCCGCACGGCCACCACCTCACCCAGACCCTCTAGCCCTTCCTGGGAGAGGGCATCCATTCGTGAAGGTGTTGCAACAGCCCTTAGTGATCTCTGAGGCCACCTCGGTCACTGTCCAGGGGAGAGGAGAGGGACTCCGCCATTTATAGGCTGTGGGATTTTAGATGAGTTGCCTAACTTCTCTGTGCCTCAGTTTCCTCATCTGCAAAACAGAGATACTAATATTCCCTACCTCCCGGGCTGTTTAAGGAGGAAGGAGATGAGCAGATGAGCACAGCTGCTGACACACTGTAAATGCTCAGAGATGGGAAATTATTACTATTAAGAGACTCAGAAAGAAACCTTCTCTCCTCACTCTGCTCTGTCTGAATCGTGGAAGCATGTATCATGTCTTTGCTCCTAGCACTTTGCAGCCCCACTGGAGTTGAGTTCCTGGTTTGAGCATCACCCGGCCCCAGCCAGGTCCAAGCAATGCCTGTAGGACAAAGGACCGGGGCTGGGATGAGAGGGCTCAGAGACCTCTTAGCTCACTTAATGAGGCTTTAGAAGTTAATACATAAAACAAACGGCAAACAGGCCCCTGAGGCTATATGAATGGGAGTCTGAAGTTCCGGACAAAGGAGGTGAAAGTCCTGCCCAGCTGGGAGCTGGCCTGACCATCCTGTTCCTGGGCTCCGGCCCCATCCCCAGACCCCGACTGGTGAAGAGAAGCAGGTAGAAAGCAGAACACCTGTCTGGAGGTCGTGCCCTCAGGTCACTGGAAGATCTAGGGGAACAAGAGGGTCAGAGGCTCATGGCCAGCTCCCTCCCTGTTTCTGACAGCGACCATGGAGGTGACCTGTGTGACTTCAGAGAGCAAGGGCAACCTAGCCCTGTACCACTCCGTCCCATCCCCCACCCCTGTTGGTCATCCTTCCCTACCTCTCTCTTCTTTTTCACTCCTCTTTCTCCTCTCCTTTCTCTTTCCCACCTTTTCCCCACTTTCCTCCTTCCCCGAAGTGCTTTCTTCTCAATCCTCCCTATTCTTCCAGTGCCTTCCCCCACTCTTCTATTTCTACCTCTCTCCCTCCTGCCTCCTCTTGCCCTCCCCAGCCCAGACCCTGTGCAGGAGAGTGGGACACGGCACGACACGCAGGACCTGGTGCCAGAGAGATGGCTGGAGAGGAGGGAGAAGACCCAAAGGTCTCCTTGGCAACTCTCTCTTACGCACACACCCACTTGGAATCTTGGAGAGCTTAGCTCAGGGTATGGGCACTGCCTTGGACGGGCCCCCCGCCCCATCCTGGATTTGACTGTTGCCCCCCACGACAGCTAATTCACTGCCTCCCCTGTGCCACAAGCCTGGCAGCTATGCCTGGTGGTGGTGGGCAGTGAGAAGCCAGGCCTGCCTCTGGGATGTGGAGAGAATGAGCCGATGATTGCACGGGGGGACCGCTCCTGCCAGACTGCCCACTCCCCAGGGCCATGGCGGGCATGAGAGCCAGCACGTGTGTGCCCATCTGCAACACGCCTGTGGTACTCGAGAGCTGGCCTGCCCGCCACAGGCTGGTGGCTGGGGGCGGGAGCCCCAGAGGTCGCTGAGCACAGCCCCAGCATGCTAAGAGAGGGAACGGGAACACAAGCTACACCCCATGTCGATGGGATGGGAAGGAAAAGAACTAGGGCCAGGGCCAAGTTCCTGGGCCATGGCAGCGGTGGGGGGTGCAGGGGGAATCAGAGCTTGGGAAGCATTGTGCCAGCCCGCTCACATCCCACCTTGCACAGCCCACATGCACACACTCACACACACACACACCCAAGTGCCTCAGGGTCCTACAGGGCCTGGGCAGGGTACCACAGAGAACGTGCCATCGGAAGGGTCCCCACGAGGCCTGTCCTACTAAGGGCAGTGAGCGTGGGGGGCAGAATCGGTGGAAAGTGGGCCGAGGGAGAAATGATCCTGCAGGGGGTCTGTCTAGGTGGAGGGCCATTTGGTTAATGAATGGCCACAAGTAACGCCAGGCTTACACTTGGGAGAGAAGTCGGGGGGCAGGGGCCAGCACTGTCCCCTGAGGGGTCCCCCGTAGGAGGCACTGCTTGCAGAGCAGAGGGAAGCAGGGAGCCAGGGGACAGGGCCATGGCAGTTAGAAGACATAGCCTGCAGTTAGAGGACCCAAGTTCAAGTCCAACTGTTGGTTAGGAATGCTTATGGCAGGTCTTTTTCCCACTGGGGCCTCCATTTCCTCCTAAGAAATATGGGGACAAGATGTTCCCTCGCTGACTCCAAAAATATGAAAAATAGTTATTTCTGTTTAGAGCCAGGCCCAGTGCTAAGCATACTGCACAATTTATGCCTCACAACACATATCTGTGGGATGGGTTCGGTCACCGCCTATTTTGCAGAGATGCGACAGGACTTGCCGGTGTAGGGTCTGGGTGACTTCTGCACCTCCGCCCTATGTTCTTTGGCCTGCATGAGGGCTGGAGGGGCCCTGACAGAGCCCAGATGGAGACCAAGGCCCAGAGACAGGAAACAGCCCTCCCTCAGTAGCAGAAGTCAGGACCAGAGTTAGGACATAATCCAGAATTCCTGACTCCCGGAACAGTGCTCCTTCCCTTACCCTGCTCTGCCTACCCCCTTCCTGCCACTGCCGGGCTGCTTGCCTGAGGCCCAGGGTAGCCAGTCGGTACCAAGTGAGAGGAAGAAACACTGCCAAGGTCCAGGGTGGGGCTCAGAGCCCTGCCCTCTAGCCAGGTCCGGAGCTCCCTCCTGGTTCCTGGGGGACTGTCACGTCGGCTCAAGACTCCACAGGCAGGGCCTAGCTAGGATAGGGACACCCCTGGCTCTAACCTGGCTTGCTGGGAGATGTGCTGCCATCTGATCCAGCCAAGGGGGAAACCGAGGGTCTGTCTGGCATCTCTAGGCTCCATTCCCCCAGATCAGTGACCCAAGGGGCCAGAGCTGCCTCTGGTCCGCCCTTCCGCCCACTCCGCCCCACCATAGGTGTATGAGCATCTGTTCAGCAGTAGCAGTCAGGGGCCTGATGCAGAGTCCAGAGCCAGGTGCTCTGGCTGGGGAAGAATCTCAGGGGCCATGGGAGACAGGAGGAGGTGGGCAGGAGCCACACTGTCCGCTGGACAGAACAGAAACCACAACAAGGAAGCTGAGCCTCTCCTCCCAAAGCCCTAATCCTGGCGGCTCCTTATCCCAGTCCCTTCCACCTGTCTCGGCCCTGGGTAGGCAGGCTTGGGGACAGCCGGACTGTGGACCAGGTTGCAGGCTGAAGCTTCAGTGGGGCTCCTGGGCTGTCTGCTGGGTTCTGGGTTATGCAGGACTCTGGGCCAGGCCGGCTCTAGGCTGGGTTTGAGATGCTGCAGAGCTTCCTCCCAGGGGCAGCCCCAGGACCCAGCTGGACTCTGTTGAAGGCCAGGTTAGCAGGAGGGGGTAGGCTGTGGTGTCCAGGGAGGTGCAGGAAGGGTCTTTTATGGTCCTGCTCTCATGGCCCCAAAGGGCAGGGGCCCAGGAAGAGAAGCAGGGTTGGAGCTCAAAGTTAGGCCACCTAAGGGTAGTCTTGGGAGAGGCCTCCAGCGAACTGGTGGGAGCCGGGAGCTGCAGGAGAGCCCTGGGGCCACGCCATTCTGGAAGGGCACAGCCCTACAGCTGGGGAAGCACCCAGTGGAGCTGGTGTGTCCTGAAGAACAGGCAGACTCTGAACAACCCATCTGTGGGATATGCTGGGCCCAGGACACCATCCCAGTGGATGACTTCTTCAGTCTCCCCCTTGAGGAGGCAGAGGCGTTGGCGGTGGCCGGAACCCAGAGGCCTCAGCCAGTCCCAGCCCCTGTGCTCTGCCCCGCACAGTGCAGGCATCAACCTCCTAGAGACAGAGAAAGATCCCGCTGGGGGCAGAGGAAGGGGCCCAGGCTATGGTCAGTCACCTCAGCCCTGCAGCCCCAGGCCAGACGCTTGCTGCTGGGCTCAGCTAGCTCTGCAGAGGGGATGCACTCTGGAACCTGTCCCCAAACCCCCTCCACTGCAGCGCACCCAGCCCACCCCGCCCCACCCGTCCTGCTCATCCACAAGCTGACGAGTCCTAACAGGCCTCCTTTGCCAATGACAAAAATAACTATTTTCAAAATTCACAGCAGGGCTTTCGCCTACACACGCTGCACCGACTGGAACCTGAAGGGAGATATGCAGAACGCGATGTGCGGATGGAGGCATGCTCTGCAGTGAGCAGGCTCTGAGCCCCCTAGGCCCCTCCTCCCGCCACTCAGCCCATGCCCACGCACAGGGGTCCCCGGAACAACCAAGTCGGAAGGGCTCTTAAATCATCCATTGTACAAAGGGAGACACTGAGGCCCAGAGAGGCTCCAGGATTGGCCAGAGGTCACCCGGTGGGCCTGTGGCAAGGCTGGACCAGAACCCATACATTCTGCTTCCCCACCAGCCTGTCTACCTCCTCTCCCACGGACTCGGTCAGTGGTGAGCTCCTACTTGCCCTCAGGAAGTACACACTCACACCGGTGCTCACAGACAGCCCTGCAGCCCTGGCGTCCATGTGACTGCATTTTAATCAAGTTCATGGGCTCCTCCACAACCATTACCTTGGCCAGTATATCTCTATAGCCCTCTGAGGTAGGCGGAGCTAGGGCTAACAACCCCATTTGCAGATGGGGAAATCGAGGCCCAAAGGGGAAGGGTTGGGTCCAAGGTCAAAGCGGCACCCAGTGTCCTGATTGTTAGTTCGGAGCTCTTTTCGCAGCTGTTCCCATCACCTTTGATCCTGCTGTAGCTAACAGCCCAGTCTGTCCTCTGGGTGCTAGGGGCCTGAAGGAGAGCTTTCTCCCATAGCTCCCAGCACTTGTCTGGCCTCAAGATTGGCCCAAGCCATGGGAGGACCAGGAAAGTCAGCCCCTATCCCTCCACCTCCGCCCTCAGCACTCTGGCCCGACCACCATGCCTCAGCGAGGTTCCAGGCCTAGAGATGCCTCCATGTGGCCCCTCACCCAAGCAGTATCCCAGAGGTGCAGGCTTCAAGGGCAAGGTCGTCGAAGAGCTGGGAGGTGGCAAGGTCAATGGGAACTCCATCATGGCCCCAGGCGCCAGGTTCACTCCACGGAGCCACCAAGTCATTACAGCTCTTTCACCGAGCAAGCCACGGAGGCCCTGAGAACTCACGCAGGCCACTTGAGGTCACAGAGCAAGTCAATGGAGAGGTGGGACTGGAATCCAGGAAACCGTGTCTAGTTTATTCTCCCCCAGGCCAAGCTCCCCATCCTTCAATGGAGGATCTCTCTGCTCCCCATTTCCCTACAGGTGGGGATTTGACCTCAGGCCCCTTGGTGGGGAGGGGCAGGGCCAGGCCTGATTGGGGAAGTACATCTAGGGGGACAGAGATCATGACCTTCCCCCCATCAGATCCGCTGGGACATCAGCCTGGTGTTGAGTTTACGAAAAAAGGATCGAAGCTTGCAAATCTTGCATTTTTTCTTGCGGCGCCCTTGGGAGAAGCTACGAGCCCTGCCTGCCTCTTCCTCCTCTTCCTCCTCTTCCTCATCACTGGCCCAGGGCCCCCAAGCACCCCCATTAAAGTCGGGATGGGCCCGGGGATTCTCAGCTGGGTAGCGCACAGGGATGGCTGTGCGGTTATAGTCCACCAGACGGGCCAGAAGGGCACGGACCACATCGGGCCGCTGGCCAGCCAGGTCCTCCCGTTCGTAGGGGTCAGCGCTGATGTTGAAGAGCCACACCGCCTGGCGGGCACTGGCCATGCGCTCGAGGTTCCACCAGCTGCCGGGAAAGGCGGCCAGCGTCTGTGGTGGGATCCAATCCCCATAGCCAGGGTCCCCTGTGAGCAGCTTCCACTCACCCACGCGAATGGCAGCCTGCACAGCCGTGTTCCAGATGCCAAAGCCAGCCTCCAGGGAGCCGTGTCGGGCATGGTTGTAGAGGGGGTCGATATTGTGCAGGATCTCTGTGCGCGGCGAGGCCTGGCCCTCACTGATGGTGGGCCACACGTCATAGCCATCTAGCCCATCCACCGCCGAGGCAGTGCCACCTGCCAGACCCACCAGGGTCGGGTACCAGTCAGTGATGTGCACCAGCGCCCGGCTTGTCCGGCGTTTTCGCTTGAGCAGGGGGCTGTGGACGAAGCCGAGGCCACGCACGCCCCCTTCCCAGTAAGTGCCCTTGCGTCCTCGCAGCGGCCAGTTGCTACCCCCAGAGAAGGTCTGGCCGCCGTTGTCACTGGAGAAGATGATGACGCTGTTGTTGTAGAAACCGTAGCGCTTGAGGGCCCCGGTGATGTTGCGCACGGCCTCATCCATGCAGGTTACCATGGCTGCGTACTTGCGCCGGGCCACGTTGCCCATGCCGCGGTAGCGGTACAGGTACTCGCGAGGGGACTGCAAGGGCGTGTGCACGGCCTGGAAGGCCACGTAGAGGAAGAGGGGCCGCCGGGGGCTGTGGCTAGCGAGGATGTGGCTGACCCGCTGGGCGTAGAGCATGGTGGAGTACTGGCCGCTGAGCCCCCAGGCCACGCTCTCGCCCTCGTGCAGGTCAAAGCCACATACCCCGGGCCCGTCACAGTTGTCGTAGGTGTAGTAGTCCACGTTGCCGGTGAGCGAGCCCAGGAAGGTGTCGAAGCCCCGGCGGGTGGGCAGGCACTCCTTCCGGTAGAAGCCCAGGTGCCACTTGCCCACCATGTGGGTGGAGTAGCCAGCCTCCTGCAGCTTCTGGGGCAGCGTCACCTGGTCCAGGGGCAGGCAGTTGGGCTGCCGAGGGCGGATGATGGAGTGCTGAAGTCCGGTGTGGATCTGGTACCTGGTGGGAAGAGGAGAGCGTGTGGAAGGCACAAGGAACTTGCAAACCACCACTCGGGCCAACCAAGCCCCCAGTGCCCTCCCTGAGGGGGCTCTGGTCCCAGCACTTCCAGCAAACGCACAGTAATTGGCATGAAAATCACTCCAAATGTGTTGTCTCAACAGAATCCTCAAAATCCTCAAAATCAATGGAAGCTGATTATTTATTGACAGATGAGGAGACTGAAGCTTGGAATGGTTCAACCACTCACCCAGGATCAGGCAGCCAGGAAGGTGGGGGAGTTAAGAGTTGAACCCAGGTTAATTGTGACAAAAAAATAATAATAACTAATACCAAGTCCTCTCTCTGTGCTCGGCATTGTGTTAAGCCCCTTATACTAAGCATCTCACCAACTCCCCACTAACCTAGGGAGTGCGTGCATGTCATTATTATTCCCATTTTCCAAATAAGGAAACTGAGGCTCAGTAAGTTAAGTCACTTGCCCAGTGATTCAAACAATTAGTAACTGGAGTGGGGATCTAAATCCCAGGGGGTCTTTAGAGACTTCAGAATCCCTAAGCTCTTTAAAAGAATGAGTCACTTTTGTTTCTGGGTTAACATTTAGTACACATGATCATTGTCCTATGTGGCCATTGGGTTCTGCTTAGTTGTACATGCTCATGGGTCAAGTGGTATGTAATGGAGCTGTCCTTTACGCAACTTTGTATTCCCGGCATTCAGGTGATGTTTAAACAATCCTCAATTACGTATGGAAGGAAAGAAGGAAGGAAGGAAGGCAGGCAGGCACTCAGAGGATTTTAGAGGCAGAAGGGACCGAAGTCAATTTCTAGTGTATTTATCTTGTCTTTAAAAACACAGGTCCAGGAGCACCTGGGTGGCTCAGTTGGTTGTGTCTGACTTTCACTCAGGTCATGATCTCGGGATCCAGGGATAGAGCGAGGAGTGGAGCCTTGCATCAGGCTCCGCACTCAGCAGGGGGTCTGCTAGTCCCTCTCCTTCTCCCTTGGGCCCTCCCCAGTTTGTGCTCTCTCTCTCTCATAAATAAATAAAATCTTTAAAAAAAAAAAAAAAGACAAACAAACAAAAACCCCATGTCCAGAGGAGGGGAAGGGCCTTGCTTAAGGTCACTCAGGGGTCAGGGGCAAAACCAGGGCTTGAACATAAGTCCAAGCAGAGTCCAAACCCAGACTTGTCTCCAGCAAACTCAGTTGCCACATCTCTTCCCCCATGGTGGCCTCAGTGAGCTCACGTAGACGGGTGAGCTGGGTAGGACAGGAGATCTCTGAAAACCCTCCAGCTCCCAAATTTTATGAGACCAGTTCTCACATGCCTGCCTATACATTCATGTGGCCCCTGGATCGGGGTCACTCACCCAGGCTGACGCTCTGAGGCAGGAGCAAATGGTTAGCAGAATCCTGCATTCCTTGTCTATTCATTCAAATCCCTTCTGCGGTCAAGGTCCCCATGTGATCTGCTTGTGGTGTCCAGCCTTTACTCAAGTCTTAAAAACCCAGAGTAAATAAGAAGGCTAGAACTTCACAAGGGTCTTAGAATCCCAGAGCTTTTTCTCACCCCAGAGGAATCCTAGTTAAGCCAAGACCTGACAACCTGACTCCTTTAACACAGGCCTGGGCGGGGTGGGGGAGGGCTCTCCTATTTTTGGTTTCCTTAACTTAGAGCTCTCATCGTTAGTATCACTAGCTACTGTCGCCATTTTTATATTTGTCTCTATACCACATATATTATTTCATTCATTCTTCATTAAAAGCTACAGGGAAGACTATTATTATCCCCATTCCACAGCTGATGAAACTGAGGTTCTCAAAAGTACAGCACGGGCCCAACTGCAAACAGCTAGCCAGCAGGGGCTCCGAGCTTGGAACCCAGGTCTACACAGCTTGTGCTCAAATCCTCTCAGTGATGCTGGCTCTGCAGCCCCCAATCAAGCTAATGAATGATTCCATTTAATATGGGAAGTACCCCAGGGCCAAGCAGTGGCGGGGCCTCATCACAGGGCTGGGTACCTCGGAGGACCAGTTTGTAAAGTGGGTGGGCCAGCTACGGGTCACCAAAGCCCGGCTGCAAGGGGGTAACATGAGAAACATTGGCATCGCGGAGCACGGAGCACGACTGGATGCCTTAACAAACACTAATGAGAGTCGTCAGCATCAGTCAGATGGAGCCGGCTGCAGGGGGCGGAGAGCAGACGCTGCCCAGCCAGGCTCAGCTAACTTCCCAGATCAGGGGGCTGGAACCCTGCCCTGTCGGCTGCTCATTCCCCTGCTTCAACCGAAAGTCACCTCTCGAGAGAGAAATGCTAGCTTGTGCACAATTCTTGGAGATGCAAGTTCTTTTCCCCCTGCTGGAGGTTAGTCAACATTTGGCCCTCGCCAACACTACTGACGCCCCAACCCATAACACACACACCAGCCCCTCTTCCACACTTCCCCAGTTCTATCTTCCTCTCTCTCTGTTCCTGGAGCTGAAGGCTGCGTGCCCGAATGGAGGAAGAAAAGGGACCTATTCGACTCCCAGCTCTGGGACCCCTGTCAACCACGTGGCCACTCAGCCTCCTCTCCCACCGACCCTGAAGTTGGGCAGAGGCATGAGTTGGGACCCCCTGACTCCATGCCTCAGTTTCTCCCACCCGGGGAAACAGGGAGAGCAAGACTCTGGTTCCTGAGATCATGCTAATGGCTTTTGGGTGGAACTTCGGAGAAGGCATGACTTGGACCCCATCCAAGGAGGATTAGCTTCAGTCTTGCCAAAGGATTTTCTCCTAAGTGGCCAGAGTTTGCCTTCCACACCCCCACCTCCTGTTACCCTGCTCTTTTAATCCTGTAATCCAGCCGCCTTGCCTGTGGACAACTCCTTACGGAGAAAGCAGCACGTCTCCTGGGGGCTCCCAGCCAACTTAGGAGGATTTCGCAGATGAAAAAACAGAGGTTTGGAGAAGTGAAGTAACTAGCCACAGGTCAAGGCAACCTGCGTGTGTCTTTCTGCCCCACCTACACGTTCCTTGGTTTCCTTTCCATGCAGCCCTCGGTTTGGGAACCCTGATCCCTCCGGTGACATAGAAGCTGCCATTTATTATAGCCAAGCAGGATACATACAACTCATCCCATCCTCGCCACTCTTCTTCAGGATAAACACTGCCCTCCACTCTGTTTACGGACAGACAAGGAAGCAGAGGCTTAGAGAAGCTGAATGATTTGCTCACGGCCTCCGGGGCTGTAATTAGAAGCAGCGTTAAAACCTAAGTGTCAGAGACTGCCGTGTTCCTCTCACAAAGGGATGCCCAGGTGTCTCCTTCGCATGGTGTACAGTGTGTGTCCTAGAACATCAGAAGGAGGAGACCTCAAAGATGATCCAATCCATTCAGTGTACAGTTGGAGAAACTGAGGCCCAGAGAGGGCAAAGGACTTAACTAATGATCACACAGGCAACTGGAGACAGAATTGGCGGAGTCCTGGTTTCCCAGGTCCCAGAGGGGGTGGGGGGGGGGGGGGGGGCTTCTGTGAATGCAGAGGAAATCTACAGACGGGATTTACTTGGGGCACACCGGGCCAGTCCCAGCAGCCTGGGTCATGCCTACCTGCCAGTGAGAAGTTGGCTCCGCGAAGGCGTGCAGATGGGCTGAATATAATAATTCTCCAGCTTGACACCCTCGGCTGCCAGCCGGTCCAGTGTAGGGGTCTCGATATCAGAGCCGTGGTAGCCCACGTCGTGGTAGCCCTGGTCGTCGGTGAGGATGAAGATGATATGGGGAGGCTGGGGTGGAGCGGCCGAAGGCTGCTCCACACCGGCTTCCCCAGGCCCGTCAGCCACCAGACTCGGCTTGGCCCAGTCCCAGGACAGGTAGCCCAAGCTGAGCAGGCTGACCAGCGAGAAGCCAGTGAGGGCGTGCATCGCCATGCCGGCCCGCGCGTCCCGGCGCACAGGGTTCCCGGGGCCTCACCGCCTCGCGCGCCCAGGGCGCACGGCCCGCACGCCTGCCGGCTGGCCCGCCTGGACGCTGCGAGATCGTTCAGGCGGCCCCGGGGGGCAGCCCAGAAGTTGGATCAGGACCGGAGGGGGGACCTGCGCGGCCGCAGCGGGGCGCTCTGGGGAGGTCAGGCCCGCGCAGAGCTGCCTCCCGCCGCCCGCGCGCCCGCCCTGCGCCGCCCTCGCTCCCTCTTCCCCAGCTCAGCCGGGCCAGCCTGAGACGCGGCGTGGCTGCTTCCAAAAAGTGCTTTCCACCATCCTCTAACTCTCCCCTTCCTACTAGCCCTAGATTTCTCCCGCCTCCTAATTTCTCTCGCCTCTGCTTTCCTTTCCTCCTCCTCCCGACCCTCCAGCCCCCGGCCCTGCCTCTCGCCCCGCCCGAGTCCTGAGAACAGTCGGGCTCCCCGCACGGAGGCGGGCAGGACCCCAGCGGTGAAGGGGAGGGAGGCACGGGTTGGGCGGGCCTGGGGGGGAGACACCGCGGGAGAGAATGCGAGAAAGTTGTAACATCTGCCGGGGCAGAACCCCAGGTGGAGGGGCGGGACTGGGAGCAACGGCTCCGCCCTCGGGCGGGAAGCCCAGGCCCGGTCGGCCCTCTGGCTCCCTGGCTCCGGCCCCCCTCCCAGCCGTCCCGGCGGAGAACAGGAGGGAGAGGGGCTGCTTGGAATTCAGTGGAACAGCTCCGGAATGGCCCGGTCAGACATTCCAAGATCTTGGAACCTTAGCACCTCTGTGTGCCAGCCCTGGAGGGGTCGCGCATAGTTTTCTATTCCAACCCGTTCATTCTACAGTTGGAGAAACTGAGGCCCTGAGATAGGTAGAAACTGGTGTAAGTCACAGGGCATGTTAGTAACTTCTTCCCCGGGGGGCTCGGTGGCTGCTAGAGTGGCAGTAGAGACCGCAGTGGAGAACAGGGACGCCTTTAGCATGCGCCTGAGGCTGGAAATCAGGAAACTAGGTTCTTGCCTTTGCCAGCTTCCCTCTCCCCATCCCGTCCACTCCCCCTCTTCATTCTGCCCTTCAGGGATAGAATGCCAGCGCTGAAGTCCAGAGGGCCGGGGCTGTTGAATACATCTTGTATCCACAGGGTCCAGAAGTTAATCAGCACGTGTTGCATGAACGAATGGATGAGCGGGCCTCCCGCAGGCCAACTCTCACCCAAGGAAATCTCCCCGGCAGAGAAGGCAAGCTGGAGGGACTTCTGTGCCGGGCAGGTATCATAAAGGGATAAAGCAGGGGGGTGGCTGTGTTGCCAGAGGGAAGGCAGGGGCTTCGGTGAGCCAAAGACAAGCCAAAGACCGCAGACTTGTGTCCTGATGACCCTTGTCACGCAAGAATGTGGGCCAGTGTTTCCAGATCTTCTGATTTTCCAAGAACACCCAAATCCGGATTATTATGAGAAGTATCCCAACTGTTAAGTGCTAGCAACTAATGTAAAGCAAATTTAAGCACTGCACAGGCTAACTCAAACCTGAGGAATATGTTAAGCCGTCAGGTGCCTTTTGCCACTTCCGCTCTGCTTTATTGTTTTCCAAAGTTGTCCTAGGCTGCATTTTTAAATGGGAGAACTGAATTAAACAAAAGCAGTTAGGCTCCCTTACCACCAGCACTTCAGAACTTCAGATGTTGGCTATGCTGAGCTCCAAGAGGGAAGCTGGTAAAGCTGTATTTTCCAATCTTATGTGGCCAAGGACCCCCCTTTCCACAGGGCTTCTAGAAGGGCCAGTGTCTGGGGAATTGAGGGGAACGAAGAGTGCCCAGGTGTGTCTTCTCTGCTAGCATCTTTCCCCTGCCAGTATGCTGTCATAATCCCTTCCCTCTTCCTTAAAACCACTGTGTGTGGGGAAAGAAACCAGACCTCCAGAATAGCAGCCGGAGTGAACCCACATTTTTTTGAAATGAGGGCTGCGTGGAGCCAGCAGCTCCCGTTTGCTCAAAGCCCCATAGTGAGGGTGATCAGATTTATCAGAAGGGAAAACTGAGCCTGTTGTTCTGGCCAAAGAAAGGTTGAGGACAGACAGGAAAAATACAGCCTCCTGAGGGGAAATGCTGCTAAAACGGTGTTTCTGGAGGCTTCAGCCTGAAGGCTGTCCTGGAGGTCAAAGTGGGACAAGTCACGGAGGTCAGACAGACTTGGGTTTTGCAGTCTTCACATTGTCCCAGACCTCGGTCAGGAGGAGTAGAAGTGGCACAGGGAGAATGGCAAGGGAGGTGGGGTGGGGAGGGATGTAGCCTGGAAGGAAAGAGGCCTGGGGAGGTGGGGAGGGGAGCTCACAGGCTGCAGATCTCGGGGCGGGGGTGGAGGGGTGGGGGTGTCAAAGGGACAAGATAAGCTGAATTTCTAAGAATTCAAGATGGTGGGCTCTGACATTAAACTACCTGTGTTCAAATCCTCCCTTTTATTTGGGGTCAGGCCCTTGGGCAGATTATTTGGCCTCCCCCAGCCTCAATTTCTTCTTCTATAAAATGGGATGATAATATAAATGAGACACAGTACAGTGTTCAGGAAAGTGCCCAGCCCAGAATAAATACTCCGTGAATGTGAATGATTTTGATGGTTGTTCTCTGCGGTTCAGGAAAAGAAGACTAAGTCCTGTGGTTGAATGTTACCCGGAGGCACATTTCAGGCCAATTTAAGGGATTACTTTTGTAGGAAATCTGGCGGTTTTCTTAATAAAAGGATGGCAGTGATGGGTGAATCAGCACATGGAGAGGAGTAGGTGGGACTCTGGGGCCCAGCTCATGTTCCCCAGCATTCTTGTTTAAGGGCCCCTTAGTACTCCCCCAAACCCATGGTGGTCTCAGGGGACATCTTTCCCCTCTAATGTTCTAGGCAAATGGACACTGACCGGCAACTCTGAATGCCATTACACAGCCGGACCAGGCTGGAACATTTAGGCCGGACATTTCCAAAGGCTCAGGGATGCCGAGGGGGACATAAGCAAGGACTAACGTGAATCAAGTCGTATCGGTGTTAAGACGTGACTCACTCATCTTCCCTCTATGTTCCCTACAGGATGCCTTCCTGCTTTCTTCCCTGAGACAATGTCCATCGGCCCTGTTGCTACCCAGATGGATTCAAGAACTCGAAAATGTCTCAAGTTCAGGCCCAAAAAGTAAGTCTCAGAGAAACAGAAGTTGCCTCTTGAGCCAAGCTAGCCTTTGCAGTTTCTGTCTCAGGACCTACCTGTTTCCGAGGTGAATGACAGCAGAAACATCCATCCCCTACAGAGGGGGGAGATCTGCCCTCCTTCACACAGGTGCACACTTCCCCCATCACCCACAAAGAGCAGCTGCATTAAAACAGGGCCAGAAACCTAACACCTGCTCACGGAACGCAGATCAGACATGGTGGGGGTATAGCACTGTTACTTCCTGCCGGACTTCAAAAAGCTCTGAGCTCTGTTACTAGCACAAGGCAAAAGGGGCAGAAAGTGCCCATCTGCCAGGAGGGAGAGAGATTCCGAACTGAAATGGGGAGCAAAACTGAAGGACTTTGAAAGTTCTTTCCAGCTTGAAAATGTTATGATTTGGATTTTTTACCCATAGAAAACTGTTTGGGATGTGGAGATCTAAAAGTGAAAAAGTGGGTGGGTCCGTTTTGTGGCTTTGTCTTTCATTGCTGTGTGTGTGGTGTAGGTGTAGGTGTGTGTGTATGTTTGGCCATTTTTGAGCTAAAATTAACTCAGTACAGATACTATTTTCTTCTGACTTAATTGACCTTGGCAAAGATCTTTTGCACAGATTATGCATGGTCTTGTCCTCTGGAGGTCATTTTGTGTAGGCTGGGCCAAGTCAAGGACTGGAAAGATAACACAGAAGTCGTCTGGACAGTCAAAAATGTCTTAGAGTTCAATTCCTTAATTCAGAGTAGAGCTCCTCAGCCTTTCCCCAGTCCAGGCCTACTGACTCTTGCTTTGTATGCAATTGTTACAAGGCTAACGACTTTTGTTTCCCAGTCTGAGAATATTGGAGAGTTCAGCGGGAATAAAGTAGATGGTGGCTGGAGGCACTTGCCTGTTTTGTAGTAATACAGATTCACAGTGAAAATGTCAGGGAGAAACAAAAGAATAAACATAAAAATCAGACCAATGAATTTCCCCAAAGCCGGGGAGGTTAGGGCCATTGGGTGCCCAAGCAAAGAGCTATGTCCACGGGCACCACCAAATCATGGCCATGCCACAGAAGGGAATGTGGGGTCACCCTTCGGCACTTAAATTCCGTTCAAGATCCTCTTTTTAAGAAAGCTGGAGAAAGGGGCGCCTGGATGGCTCAGTGGGTTAAAGCCTCTGCCTTCAGCTCAGGTCATGATCCCAGAGTCCTGGGATCCAGCCTGGCATCAGCATCAATGGCATCAGCATCAGGCTCTCTGCTCAGCGGGGAGCCTGCTTCCCCACCCCTTATCTCTCTGCCTGCCTCTCTGCCTACTTGTGATCTCTGTCGGTCAAATAAATAAACAAAATCTTTTAAAAAAAGAAAGAAAGCTGGAGAAGGCATCCGCGATGTTTTAAGGTTTCTATCAAAACTGGTTACTTTGACTGGTTCCTGTTGTAAGCCCAGCTTCAGCTTCAGCTGGAGAGCACCTTCCCCAAAGATTCAGGCTCAGGCAGCGGTTCTGCAACGAGTAGGATGTAGCTCTGCCCAGGTGCGGGAGGTCGGGCTCCCCAGCAGCAGGCTGGGCTCAACGGCCTCCTGCCTCTCCTCAGAGCCCACGGAGGCCAGCATTACATTCCTCACACTTGAAGCCCTACAAGCTCCTGGGGCTTGAGAGGGCGTGGGGCGTGTGGGATGTGGCACTCAGCACACTGAGTGGGAGACCAGAATTCGGCTCCTGGCATCCTTTCCAACAATCAGGCCGTCTCCTCCTAATGAGCAGTTTCTCTATTTGCAAAATGCCTCCCCGAGAGAAAATTCCACAGGTTTCCTTCGTC